ACGGGGAGGAAAGAAGGAAGAGAGAAAAAACAACCCAAAAAACAAATTGTTCCCGGCAAGGGCCAGCCAGATGAGAGCCCGGTAGGGTGCAGCTCTTGTCTAGTTTAGGAGAATGTGAACTTAATGTACATTGTTTTGAAGGGAACTCTGCCTTCTGGAAGTCTCCCTAGTCAGTTCCTGTGTTCCTAATTAAGGCCTGAGGCTTCACGCAGCTGTGGAGAGGAGTGGTGTCTACGCTTAAATTGTTGGAGGTTTTGTTTTTCTCACAACCACATCCTTTCTGGCTGCAGGTTCGAGGGAGGACATATTGCCAAGTGGGCTGCCCTCAGAGGACTGCCCCTCCAGCTGACCTGAAGTGGCCCATCTCTACCACCTGCCAGGCCTCAGCAGCTGGTCCCCTCACCCCCTTGGCAAATGCTAAGGATTACCAGGCAGCTTGCATCTGGGCCAGTCTTTGGTATGACCACCACTTCTGTCACCACTGCCTTCTACATGTGGTCAAGATGTCGGATCCTGGCAGATGGGGTGGCAGAGCTTCAACCTCTTCATGTTCAGGGCTCTGAGAAGCGCTACCTTCATCCAAAGGTCTAACCTAAATCAATCATGTGCCTAAATTAGGCAGGCACATGCTATGAGCCTGAAAAAATAAAAAGGCAGCAGGAAATCAGGTAACCCCCAGTAAGGTGGGTTCTGATCCTCCTAGAGTCCATGATATTTACCTCCATATCAGTTCTGAGTGGTCAGGCATTACTACGATGAGCCTGCTTGACTGATGACAGATTCTCGCTCAGCTCTTACCCAGCCCTCATTTGCACAAGAGAGCAACCCAGGGGCCCACTGTCCACCTCACGGAAGCCCACCTACAAGACTCTTTATTGGGTATTTTAGCTGGACTTGATTGTGTAAATTACAACGCTGCCTTTCTGTAAAAGTGTATAATCCAAGTTAGTCCCCAATTCTGGTTACCTTTACTGAAAGGCCCTTTTTTGGTGTTAAACTGCATTTAAATGAGCCTGTACATAACAAAACTGCCTCTTTAATGGTGTGCAGTCCTAGACATTCCTGGATTCCAATGGACCACCCCTCTTTACCCCAGCTGCCACACGTCACCACCACACTACTGAAAATGGAGGTCTTGCTGTGCTAAACTGCACTTCTAGTTAGGGCTTTGTGGGGATTAGCTGGGATAAGAAATAGGAAATATCTTATCTCTCTTTTTAAATCTAGATTTTGCTCTCAAGCTGAATGAAAGAGCAGGGGAGTGAGGAAGAAGGGTTAAGGGTGAAAAATGCTATAGGGTCTAAAAGATATTTCTGTGCAAGTTGCTTGCAACTGTTTGGGCTTGTCTTAAAGTGTGGGAAGAGGTCCAGGGCTGGAGGAATGATGCAGAGCGAGGGGTAATGGATGAAACCAGACGTGTTTCCAAAACTGTGGCTTTAACCACCATAGATTCTGCACGGGTAACTGTGATGAGAAGGGACTTCAGATCCCTGTTGCTATGGTTTCCTGAAATAACTTCATCTCCAGGGAGAACATTCACCCTCTTCTGTTCCCGATGGACTGCTAGGGACTAGGATAGAAGCAGGGCTCTGGAATGTATCCTGGGAGCAGACTCTGGCCTCTGGGGACCAAGCTGGCTATGTGAGAGAGAAGGGGTTCATTTACAGCCAGCAGGAAAGACCTCCCAGATTAGGATTACCAAGAGCTGCATGGCTTATAGCAGGCTGAGGGGGACAGTCTGGGAGCCCAGAAGTTCTGTCATGACTGCAAGGGCTGCGAGGTTTCCTGCTGGCTGGTTTGGGGCTCCCCTCACCTCTGGTCAGGTTGTTCCTGGAGCTGCTGAGGTTGGCGGTGTGACTGGGGTGGACTCCAGCCCCAGCTTCTAGAGGAAAGGAGACAACGCTTACATGTCATGGTTTCTGTCCAGCCCACAGAACCAGAGCTGGGAGGCTTTATTCATTTCGGAAGAAAAGTGAGAACAAGAATGAGACAAAGTGTAAAAGTGAAAAGGGGAGGTGCAATACTGATATGAGAAGAGGAGAAAGAACAAAATCTAGAACAACACATAGCCCAACACAAACTCGAGGGAGGGGGCAGTCAGCCCTCACCGGGCCCAGGGCCAAGCACGCCCAGTCTCTTCTTTCCTCGAATTTGAAGGAAGAGGGATACTTGGGACTCTGAAGCACCGAGATGGGGCGACAGGGGTCAGTGCAGATAGACCTACAGCTAGCACCACCACAGCCAGGCCTGGCCTGGGGCAGACCTCCCCGCTCCCACCCCATACTCCTCCAAGGACCTCCCTGCCCTTCACACAGATTTCTCCCAGGAACAAGGGAAATGGGGATGTCAACACTGGAGCTCTGACACGAAGAATGCAGTCAATATGCTGGCCCAGCTCACACCTCCCTGCACGCCGAGGCCAGGGAGGGCCTGGGGATGCTGCTGTAGCTAAACTAGAGAACAACCCAGGCAGGAGACCCAGGTGCACACAGGCCTCCGGGCGGGTTACTAGCCAGAATTAGACCTGTTCCAGAGCCAGGAAGACAAGTCCCAGCTGGAAGGGGTGGGGCATGAGTTGACAGAGAGGGCCAGAAAGCAGACATGGCCCCTCTGGGCCCTCTGCTCCTCAGAACCCTGGCCTTAGGCTTCATCATTGCACCTGGGGCTGTGGCAACTGCTCTCCCCACTTGGCCAGGCCCAGGAAGGATGGAGTGGCTGGCACGATGGGTGAGGGTGACTATGTGTTGAGGCCATGGGAAGGAGAGGATGGGCAGGTGGGTGGGTGGGCAGGCTCTCTAAATCCAGCTTCCCAGCACTCTGACCCAGCACCAAGTGCAAGGAATCATGCTTTGGGAAGCAATCACACCCCATCCTGACCCACCTTCATCCAGCAGCTTTCTCTGACCTCACCTTGACCCTTCCTCAGCTAGCAGCCCCCACCCTAGGGGCAGAGGAGCCCAGGCTGAGAGCTGGAAGGTAGTCCTGAGTGAGGTGGAGCCAGACCCCTGTCCCTCACAGGAAATGAGATGAGGTGATACTGAGGATGGTGACTAAGGCCCCAAAATCCCTGCCTCTCTGCCTCCCCAGAAACTCTGCAGCCAGGCCAGCCCAGGGAGCAGAGCCTGTGTAAACATGCCCAGGAGGGGAGGAGGGGTTGCTACATATGAAAAAGCTAAAAATAAATTAAAAAGCACCACTGTAGCCTGTGGTGGTCTCCACAGGCCCAAGGTCTCAGCTAGGATGGGGAGTGCCTGGGGATTATCAGCTTGAGGTGATCAGCTCCCTCCCTCGCAGACAGCAATGAGAGTTGGGACTTCATTCTGCTTCTTTCTCCAGAGGGTTTTGGGGAAGGAACCTGCGTGTTGGAGCATCCTTCTAGGCTCCTGTAGTAAGAGCAGCTTCCCCATGTTTTCCTGACCCAAGCTCCCAGCTCCTTTTTACATCTCTTCCCTTCTAGCCCGGTGGTCCACAGGGGCGCCTGGGTCCCCGTCTCTGATGATGAGCGGTCTGTACGAGGCACCCTTATCTAGATCCACGAAAGCCCTCACTTTCAGCCTCATGCCTCCCAAAAGTGAGCCATCTCTGCCTCAGGTGAATGTGGGAACATGGGGACCACCCCCCCACTCCCTGAAAACTGGGATGGGATGGGATGGTGAGTCAGGAGTTACAATGGGTCTTGGATTGATCTGGTCGAGTGTTGCCCAGGGGACAGGTAAAGCACCTCCCCAGGGCCTAGTGACCCACGAGGAACCCAAGGGACTGACCAACTGGTCACCCTGCTGGGCCTTGCTCTGGGCCAAGAGCTGCTGGTTTGAAGAGCTGCCAGACCTTGGTGCCTTCACCAATGGGCATCAGCAAAGGCACCTTGTCTCCCTCCCTCTTTCCTTGCTTCCCATGCACCATCCATCTCCCTGGCAGGCTGAGAACATACTCTCTCCACTCCACTCCACCTCCTCTGGTGACGGGACAAGGCCAGGGCATCTCTGGTATGTCTCTGGTCTGCAGGGAGAATGAGGAGGATGAACATGGGGCCACTGCCCACTCTGGGAGCCTCAGCAGTGAGGCCCCTGTTGTGGCCCAGCCTACTCTGGGAAGCCTGGAACTTTCCATAGTTCCCACCTCAAAGCATATCAGTGGGCTTCTTCCCAGCACAAGTTCTCTCTACTTCAGAGATTACAAACTGGCTTTTTCTCTTCGTGTTGGTTTTTTAAATTTCCTGAACTGATTGCCAACATTTAAAAATCAGGATATTTCACATAAAAAAAATTCAGAGTTTTGGCCTCTGAAAAAAATCAGACAATCTGGCAATGCAGAGCTTATACTCTGAGCAGCTAAGCAGCAGTGGCCCCTTTAATGGGGTGTATGCCCTCTTAGTTTGCTGCAGTCCCTACCCAGCCCTGCAGTGCTCCTTTTAATCATCTGCCTGGCCCTGTAACGCATTTGAGTTTACAACTCTAGTTCTAATCCTCCCTTTTCCAAGCTCCCAGCCCCTGTGCAGTCTTACAGATAACTGCCCCTGGCTGAATCTTAGCCTCTTAGTAAAAAGAAAGCTTAATGGGCTTCCCGTTCAGCTACCCTTCCATAATCTGAATCCTCTCAAAAGCTTCCTGACAAGTAGCCATCTAGTCTTTGCTTGATTACCTCCTGCAACAGGAAACTCACTACTCCCAAAGGCAGCCTGATGCTAAACTCTCCCCCGCATCCTTTTCTCACTTACACCCCTCAGTTCTTGGGCTCTGCCCCAATTCAGGGGCCACACTGCACCCTTTCCTTACACTCCCTTGTTGTGTGAACCTCCAGAACCTTCCCTCAGTCCCACCAACCTCTCTACGACCTGTCACCTGCCTTCCAGGTCTCTCCTGCGTGATGGGCAGGCTGCGCTGACTCCAGCTGTTCATGTTCTTCCCTGATGAGTCATATGCAACAGCCTGATCATCACTGGGACCCCCAAACCTAAACAGGCTACTAAATGAGGAGAGGTGAGCCTGGGACACAAACCTCCCTGGTCTGGTCTTCATTTCCACAGCTAGGGCTGAGGTGATGGTAAAGGGGGCGGAGTAGTGCCTAACCCCCGAGGACTGCCTGGGAACAGACCCAGGCGTGAGTGTCCCACCCTGTCCCCAGCCACAGTTCCTGGACATGCCAGCTCTGCTCAACCCCCACAGTCACACTGAATCCAGTGTAAAGTCTGGGCCCTCGCAAAGCCGAGCCCCTCTGCAGGGAGCCCCAGTTTCAGCAACGGGCAGAGCTGGGCTAAGCAAGATGAGGTAGGGGCCTGGGAACTCATCCCCCAGTGGTTCTCTCCTGGGCTTCCCTACAGCCCCCCTCACAGGGCGTGCCAGTGGGCCGTGTCAGTCCACGGCACTGTTTGTCCATGGGGCCACAAGGGCGTGAGAGCTCTCCTGGGCCATGGGGGCCTGCTCTTGAGTAGATGTGGCCTGTGTCAAGCTCCTGACATGGGCCACACAGACCTCTCCCAGAATGCTTCATACCACGCTTCCCTTTCCCTGGGTCAAGATGCCTCCGGGGCAGGTGGAAGTGAAGAAATACCTCCACCCCTCTCCCGTCCTGCCCCAGGCCTGGTGGGCCGGGACAGTTCTCATACATGGGACGGACCCAAATCCCAGATGCCAGGGCCAGGGGCACCAGCAGAACCAGCAACCCCTCCTCACCCAGCCCCATGGCAGTTATATCTTCTAAGCACTGGCCTGCCAGTCATTGGCAGATCCAACAGTTTTCAAAATCTCGTAAACTTTAGTTGTCAAGTTACAAACTCCAAATAAAATACTAACTGCTTCGCAGCCCAAAGTTAGGGAGCTTGGTCCAGTGGGAGAGGCAATAGCTTGGGTAGCTGGGCTGGAACACACTCTTCCTGCTGCCCTTCTCCCTGGCCTCTCACCAGCCCCTCCTTCCCCAAGAGCCAGGCTGGTTCTGGCAGGCAGATCCTGGCCCCCAGAAGTGGGTGAGGCTGGGCTGCTGCTGCCCACCTCGCCTTATACCCGGATCTGGTACCCGTTGAGGTCTGGCATGGCTTTGGGCTCAGAAGGCTTCTTCTCACCCGAAGGCCTGCAGGGAGGAGAGAGCAGAGGAGGGGAAGGATGAGTGGTCCATCAAGGAGTGGGGGAGAGGAGTCAGTGGTGGTCGCCCCTGATGGCTTCCCCCTCTATACTCCAAGACGCCCCAAACGCAGCAGTAACATCCCTGTGGAAGTGTGTTTCTGGAATCCTGGCCGCCTGTGCTGTCCTGAGCGTGCTCCCTGCGATCTCTTAGATGTTCCTGCTCTTTATGGGAGGTCGGCAAATCTGGCTGCAACTGGCTGTGAAAGCTTAATGTGTAAATCGCTGTGCAGGGACTCTGTTCTCTGTAAAAAGCCTCCTAGATCAGAGTGAATGATGCTGGATATTGGAGGCCTACTTGGTGCCCTTGAACCACACCGGAGAGGTGGCTCCTGGATGAGAATGATGCTGAAAGTAACAGCTGGACTGACATGTAGGACAACTCGGAGGCACAGCCTGGCATTTTAATGGGATTTCTGCACTCTAGATAGTGGCAAAAACTGCAGACTTGCAGGGGCAAAAGTTATGTTCAAAGCCTTCCGCCAGCTACCATCCGATGTTCATACCTTCCCCAGCAACATGGGAGAACTCACTGTGTGGCAGGGGCCGCCCCTCCTGCCCTCCCTCCCACATAAGCTTTGCTTCAGACCTTCTCTCGGGGCCTCCTGATCAGCACCGGGGCCCCACACAGTGGACCAGTGAGTGTGGTTTTCTCTGGGGAAATAAGACTCAATTGCTGCTGGGAGATGTCAACACATAAATACACAAACCCACCATCACAAATCGCCTCCCTCAGGTGGGGGCAGAAAAAGAGGGTGGGAATGAGAAGAGCGAGGAGATGAGAGGAAAAGAGCCTTTTCCCAGCCCCCCAGGCTTGACCCGCCCCTCACCTCCTTTCGCTGCGGCTGTTCCTGCGGTGGGGGCTGGACTGGCCCCGCTGAGGGGAGGACACATCCTTCTTTCTGTCCTTGGTGGGGGAGGGAGGGCCGGTCCCTTTGCCAATCTTGGTGGGGAAGAAGAAACAAAGACTCACTCCAGGGCCGCCCCAGAGCCTGTCCTGCCCCGGGCACGACCTGGGAAGCTCAAGCAACTGCTCTGCCTTATCTCCAGGTCTTCCCGAACCTGTTTCCAGGCACTAAAGCTGCCAGGGCAGGGGTTCTGCAGCAGAGCTGCCCAATCCCAGGGTGGCCCTGAAATAGCGTGGCTGCATGGGGAAGTCACTGAGCTTTTGAGGTAGCGTAAGAGGCCCCCAAGAAAAGGGATTTTTGTCCATGCCAGGCAGATGTGCCAGCTGGGGAAGCAGCCCATGTCTGAACTTTAGGCTGGGGTCCTACCAGCCCTAAGGGTGACACTGGTTATCTCAAGCCAAATAGAATCTCAGACTGGTCGCTATGTCTCTGATTAAGAAAAAATGAAAAAAGCAAATGAATTATCTTTTATGCAGCACGGTCAGCTTATTTTTTAAAAGATGGAGTACATGTTTTTACATGGGGGTGCTAAAGAGGGGTAAATAACATGGGGATACCTTAGCACCAGATTGGGAATCACAGCCTTAAAGACTAGGTCACCTGGCTCTAATTCTGGATCCAACCTGCTCCCCTGAAGACACAATAATACTCCAGCAGCAGGAGTTGGGGAGCTGGGCAACCAGAGCTGCATGGGGAGGGCCAGCTAGGAGCAGAGGAGAGCAGGACTTAAGAGTGGCAGGCTGGCTGCAGCCTACTTCTGCCCTGGAGGAAGGTGCTGTCACCCCATAAGGCCCTGGCCTAGAGGCTGGCAGGGCAGGGCCTCCCAGGGCAGGGCTGTGGGGAGCACAGCGGATGTGAATGTGCCAAGGTGTGGTGGTGGCAGGAGGGGCAGTCACAGCACAGCAGTGACCAAGCAATAAGGAGGGGCTGAGCACCCAGGAGGGGTCCTGGCAGGCCCCAGGGGAGGCACCCCCCCAGTCCAGGGGATCCCAGGGAGAGGCCGAGATTCTGCCCACCGTAAGGTTTGGGGGCAAACTTCTCATCAGCTTAGCCTACCTGCTCAGAGGACAGCAGTCCCTCCCCCTCCTGCTCACTGGGGGTGGAAAAGAGGGATAAAGAACAACCATCTCATTGTCTTCCCATGGTCTGACTTCCTTTTTCTGACTTCTTCCTGTCCTTCTTTATTGGATTGGGTGGGGGAGGGCTAGGGGTAAGGGGGGCTACTTCCATTCTTTCCAGACCAGTCACAGTTCCCCACCAGCGGATCTTTACTCACAGTCCCCTCACCTGGAGTGTCGCATCTCCGCCCTTCATGTGTCCAAGGCCTACCCTCTCCCCAAACCAGCTAGCCTGCCGCCACCTTCCGGAGCCTTCCCTGGTCTGCCCACCTGAGGACTGTCTAAACTGCACAGACCTTCGAGCAATGAGTGTTGAAACTTCCCACCTGTCATTTCCCCTGATCCTCATACCACCTTGGCTCGGGGGCTGGGGGGTGAGGAACGGGGTCAGGGGATGGTGGCGCTCCCCAGAAGAATGTCCCACTGGGAAGCGGCAGCCCTTCCATTTCCACACCCGGGCAGAGGGCCTTGATGCACATGGGCCATCCCGGAGCCCACACTGACCTTGAGCCTCATGTCGCGGGCATGCCGCTCCAGCTCCTTGCGGAAGTCCTCGCGGCCCAGCCTGTCAACGTCCAAAACGGAGTGCTTCCACTCGATCTGCTCCACACTGTGTGGGTCGTGGGACACGCACTGGCCCAGCTTTACCTTCTTCAGCACGTGCCAGCAGCGGCTGTAGGCAGCCTCGTAGTCCAGCACGAGCTCGCTAAGTGTGCGGAAGGCCGGCGGCTTGTACATCAGGTCCTCCCGCCGGCTCATGCCCAGGGCCCCATAGCGGCCCCCGAAGTTTACCCCCAGCACAATATGGCGGAAGTAGTTCCCTGAGAAGTAGGTCTTGAAGCTGATGGGGAAGCGTTCCAGGGTGGGCATGCTGTTGGTGAGGTAACTGGCCACATCAGCCCAGCTAAGGAACCAGCCAGGGAGAGGCACTGAGCCAGCAGCAGGGGCAGCCTAGGATACCCCACCCCAGGGAGAGGCTGTGCGATGGACTCCTAGACTGAGGCTCCTGAATGCAGGCACCGAGTCTGGCTTAATTCCATGTCCTGCAGTCTAGTGTTGAGCCTGGGGTACAGCGAATGCTCAGTAAACTGAATCTCTAGGAGGCAGGACTCAGTGATCAGTGGTTGCTGCCATGATGCTGAGCAAGGCTACAAAATGATAGTTAACAGTGAGTCCCTCACCCCAAACTGCAAGGCTCTCCAGGGTCCTCAGGGCTGAAGGAAGGATGAGAGGCCTGCTGTCGGCCACCACCCTTCTCCCTCTCTCGTTCTTCCCTTCTGTCACATATGCACATTCCTCCTCACTCCTATAACCTCTCAGACATGTTCTCACATTGTCTTTCTCTCTTACACATACATTTCCTCCCCCTCCCCCCGCCCCCGCCCCCATACACATACTGCCCATCGCCTTGCAAATAAAACCAAGCTCGTTTATGGCCTAGGAGGCCAAAACTGCCTGGCTCAGCGGCCCACTCCAGCCTCTTACCTGGCTCGCCCCACTTGCTCCACCTCTCCATCCACCTGGATTTCCCACCTGAGGACCTTCTGCGCTAGCTCTTCCCTCTAACCAGAGGGCTATCCCCCACCCCCCTTGGCTGCCTCCTTCTCATGACTTAGGCTTGGCCGTCACCACTGACCTCCCTTTCTAAAGTCAGTCTGCTTTACTCTTTATTCCCTCCATGGCATACTCGGACAATCTGTAATTATTTTACCTATTTCTGTGTTTACTTGTTTATTTTCTGTCTCCTCAGCTAGAAGGTCAAATGCTAAAAACAAAGACCTTGTCTGTCCTGTTCTTTGCTGTATCTCTGGCGCCCAGCACAGAGGCGAGCACATAACAGTTACTTGATAAAACTCTTCTTGAGCAAACGGGCAGAACGAGATAAATAGGATATAAGCCTGGAGTCAACGCCACGTAAGGATAGTACACCAAGTGACCTACATGTACCCTGTCATTCAATTGTCCCAGCAACCTTGTGAGACAGGTACTAAAGTCATCTCCTTTTGCAGAGGAAGCCACCAAGGGGTCATACAGTAAGTACATGGCAGAGCTAGGATTCAGGACCCTGAAGTCTATGCTCTCAGTCATTACAATGCTTACTGAACCTGACTCCTTGCAATTAAGTGAGGACACAGAGATGAGCAAGGCACCAGCTCAGAGGGCAGATGATGAGGCATGGGAACACACTCAGTACAAGCAGCCACCATTTGCACAGTGACCGAGGGAGCTGTGGCAGTGCTGTGGGGTCACTGGGGAGGTCCCTCTCCCAGATGGGAGCTGACCTGCCCACAAGCCACAAGGTAAACTCTGAAAGGCCTCTGAGATGAAGTGATCCTGCCTGGACTGGCTTCTATGAGTGTCTGGGGATAGAGGAGCATTCTCCCTCCTTTAATGTGTGTGGGGGGCCCCACTTTGGTCTGTGACTCCTGAAGGAGAAGCAATATGGGGTCGTGAAGGAGGTGCTGGCGGTGGCCTGAAGTTCTCGGGCTGGCTTCATGCTCGTCTCAGCAAAGAGCCCTTTAGACATGGCAATGCTTGTCAGGCTCTTAGAAATGGGAAACTAATTGCCACAAAAGGGGTAGCGCTTGGGACCTCTGGGGGAGGGGACTAGGGACCCCCTGCCGTCTCTCTGTGTAATTTAAGGCAGCTATGTGTAAGGGGAAGGGGGCAGTGGCCCCTTGGATCACATCCTCCTTGGAGAAATTGTGCTCCTTGTCTCTGACCGCCATGTTCTCCTCCCGACCTGTCGTAGCTGGTGGACTCCTTGTTGAAGCCACCCTCCCCCTTACCTTCTTTACGCAGAGGCAGGTGCCTGCACCAGAGGCGGCAGATGCAATTATTTAGAAGCCTATGTTACTAGGGGAAAGGTGGAGATAGGAGGGGTGGGCAGAGATGAATCAAATTTGGCCTTGAATTGGTAAAACTTGAGTGCTGGGCATATAGGATTTATTATGTTTTTCTATGTTTATAAAAGCTTAAAATTTTCTATAATAAAACAACAAAAATTGGCAGGGCTCAAGAATGGACCAATTAGGACAGAGAACTGGCTGTAAATACCTGCCTCCCCACCTTGCCCTAGCTGGGGGTTTGTCTGCCCACCTTGCTACCCTGATGGCTCAGCTATAGGCCCCAGTGCTGCCCTTTGGGTGAGAGTGACTGAAAAACCATTTGCTTTTATTAAATAGGCAATTCTGTTTCAAAGATCCCATCCATCATCTCTACAAATCAACATGTCCTGGAAATGCCAACATTTGGATATTCAACCTGCTTCTCTCAGACTGTTTGGTTCTTGGAAAAGGCACAAAAGCCTTAGTGAGACAATGTGCCCTAATTTGGGGTTCAGAGAACAGGGTCACTCTGTCCATAAGACTCCAAAAAGAGCTTCCCAGTAAGCCCAGGAAATTAGCAACTGAGGCACGTGGGACTGAGCCCCACTTAAGCCCCTTCACTGTAGGGCTAAGTTCATGTCTGGGAGAGCTGGGAGAGCCCACTCGGTTTTCTCCTTCCAGAGGAGGAAGCCGGGGCGCAGAGGGGCTGAGTGTATGCCTGCACCCTCCCGGGCCTCCCAGGGCTGAGGAAGGATACATTCCCAGGATCACAGCTTCCAGGCATTTGATTGGCAGAGCCTCTTTGGTCATTTCCTTGGCCAGGTCCATCAGCCTGGGGGGAAGGGAGGCAGAACCATGAGGACAGTCTCCATCCACTTCCCATAGGGGACTGTCAGGAGAGGGTGAGTGAACTAGAAATGCTAGAAAGAAAGAGACAACCCCCCACCTCCCCACCCCCACTCCAAGCTGCCTCAGCTCAGGTCCCCTCCCCCGCATCCATCCTGGGCCAGAGAGGGTGGGAGAAGAGGCAGCCATTGAAGACAGGAGGAAGGCCCCTTCCTTTCCCTTTCACTGCCTAATCCCACCCCAGGCTCCTGCCCCAAAGACCTCTGGGGGCAAGGAGCATGAATGGGGGGCATGTAGTCACAGACAGCTCTTTGACAGCTACTGGACTGGGGGCCTTCTGCAAATAGTGGTATAGGGGCTGGTGGGAAAGCATGCCAAGGATGCCTGGGGACCTTGGCATTGATTTCATCCTTTCCAGAGCATGGCAGATACCCCCAATCTAAGCATGACTTGTAAAGAGCTTGTAATAAGCTTGTAATTGATTGCAACTGCTCCCCCACAGCTGGTCAGCTGCTTGAGGCCTGGACATGGCATCTCGGGCAGTTAGCCTGGTGACTCCCCAGCCTGCCCTTGAACTTAGAATTCAGGCCACTTTAAGACAGCCTATTCCTGAGGCCTGGCTCATCCCTTCTCACTGAATGCTGCCTCCATGTCTGGGAATGCAGCCTGGCCATTGGCTTTGCCCAAGAGGGTGCTGGACTTCTCCATTCCACTGAGGCTGCAGCTGGGCTCCCAGCACACAGCAGCCACAGGACAAGAGCAAAGTTTTTGGGGCGAGGGAGGCTGGATTCCACCCAGGTGCTTGGAAAGGGGGCAATTAAGTAATTTAGCTAATAAAAGCATTTACTGCATTTTTCAGAAGAAAGCAAACATGGACAGATTATGTGTGGAGCAAGATGTAAAATTCACATTAATTTTTAAAACATGGGGTTTTAAGCCTGTGGACAGCTTCAGGCTGAGCCCCCAGACCCAGCTGTGGTATTCACTCCTCACTCTCCTCTGCCCTCAGGGCTTCTGCGGGGAGAATCCAGCCAGGGGTCTACACATTAGATGGTGGAGCAGAAAGTGAGAGATGCAGTTGGGTCTCCCCTCTCCAGTGGGACCCCTATTACAAGTTCTCTGCAATGGGGAGTCCACAGGCAGCTGCAGGGAAAGAAATGGGGAGAACTCTCTCTTGCTAGGCCCACCTCTTATTAAAAAAAAGAAGGCTCATACATAGACATCCACTTGGGACCACTCTCTGTCATCATCAAGGTAAGATGGGGGTCATCCATCATCCCCCAGCTCAGCATGGATGTTAGGGTTCCCTTTTCATCCACGGAGCCCTGGCTACTCATCTTGGCCACAGTCCCCTCTTTATGACATCCTTAGGGCCCCATGGTGTACAGTGGGGAAACTTTGGCAGTGCAGTGAGGACACCCTGCTAGCATGCTCCCCTGGAAAGAGGCCCTGCCTGCCTCACAAGCTTCCACCCTCACAAGCTTCCAGAGGCTCCAGACCAGTGGGGGCATCATCAGCCTCGGTGCAGAAGGGCAAGGTGTGCTCACACTTACCCTGTGAGGGGTCTGCTCTTCTTAATTTCAAAGAACTGGGTCCCTGTGTGATTGTACCTGTGGCGCTGGTTAAGGGCTTACTGGATCGGTCTAGAAGAGGTGTGTCCCACTCCACCCCCACCCCCATCCCCCAGGCCCTGGGGCCCAGCTCTCCTAGGGATTGCAGGCTAGGTATAGACCTCATAAAGTGATTCTCGAGAAGCATCTTGGAGGATGCTCAAGACCTGATCGTCTGCAGGGGAGAGAAGGGTGCTGCTTCTTCCCCACATGGCCCTTCTGTTATCCTCTCCGGCTTCTACCCTTGCTCTCCCTGGCTTTCCCTTCCAGCAAGAGAGCAGAGGAGCAGGCAGCCAGGCTGGCCAGGGCTGGGAGAATGGCTGAGCTCTGGACAGCTCTCTACGGCACTTCATTTTCCAACCAGCTGAGAAGCAACAGGAACTGAGAGGAGAAAGCTGGAATCGGGGGTCTGTGGCTAAATTGCTGAGTACTGTTTCTGAGCTAACCGTCTCCCCTTTCCAGGCTGCAATTTCCCACTGGCAAGGGAAGGGTTGGAACCAATTTTCAGTAACCAGCCTGGCTCTTCTCCTGCTCGAGATCTGGTCCTTCCATCTCAGCCTCACCTGCAGCTAGCAGGGCAGAACACAGAGCTCTGGGCTGGGCGCAGGGAGTCGAGGGGCCCAGAGCAGGGACACCACGGAATATGGGGCTCAGAAGGTCCAGCTCTTCTCATGCTGGGCAACTGGCCTCCTGCCAGGGAAGAAACAGGTGAAGAACCGGGGAAAAATTCCAGGATGTGGAAGTTACCTCCTGGAGTACATTCCAGGATGTGGAAGTTACCTCCTGGAGTATGAAGTCCGTTTCCTCCTCCGTCTGCATCCTACGTACACATTGCCTTTAACACTACTAGTTTTTAAACTGCCCCAAGGGAGCTTCCACTCTCTCACTCTCTCTCTCTCTCTCTCTCTCTCTCTCTCTCTCTCTCTCTCTCTCTCTGCTGGGCTCATGGACCTCACCAGCAGGCCGCTCAGGAGACATTTGCCCATCACATGGAGGAGGAAGTGGGTGGCAGAGAGGGGGTGTGGCATTCATCAGGGCCCTCTGAAACCCAGGCAGACTCCAGCTGGGCTTGCCTAATGCCAGGGGCATGGAGACGCTATGCAAACAGCACCCATGTAGTTGCGGACCGAGGGTGCTCTGCTGATACCTCTCCAGCCCAGTCCGCAAACAAGCCCCACTCAGCGTTTGGACTAGCACGCCAGCCAGAGATGACCAGGACCCTGGACCCGGGAGGATACTGCAGCTCCCTGATGTAGCGCTGCACGGCCTCCAGGCGCTCAGGGACAGGGGTGGAGGGCTGGAACGTAGGCACAGTCGGTATGGGGACCTGGGGACGAAGAAAGAGCCCTGGTCACAGAGGGAGGCCGGCCCATCTGAAATGCTGAATAGCCCCCAGAGAAGCCACACCCCAAGGGGGCCTCCCCACTTCCCTCCTACCGGGAGCTGTTCTCCCTGGCGACCCCTTCCAGGCCATTTCTCTCCCACCTGACTTTGGACAGCGTTCCCAATTTGGAGTTTATGCTGATGTTCCAATTTTATGTTTCTTTAATAATTTTAGAAAAACACAGGTTGACTCGTGGACTGTTTTGAATTTAAAATATTCATTAACTTCAAAGCTTAACGAGAATTCTGATATTGGGGTTAAGTGCATTTGCGGATGGGGTTCGTTTGGTTCAAGCGCTGGTTTACTTGGTGTGCCATACTCTCAGGACCCTGCCTGGGCTGGGGGAGCACTCCAGGGAGGGGTGACCACACCCTTGGCAGAAGGTACTACCCACGCCTCTATCATGGCACACTGACCAGGCCTTTCAGCGCTAACCTGGACTGTTGAGGAGTAAGCCAGTGGTAGCAGGACGAGGAACATGTTCTGGGACATGTGGCTCTGCTGCGGCTCTACTTGCCACAGCCTAGTCACTTTGGAGGTATTTCGCAGAGGCACAGGAGCCCTGGTTCCCCTTCAAAACCTCCCTTCCCTGCCAGCTCCACACCTGTAAGCAGCAAGGGTAACCAGGTAACCGGGTAGTCCTCCCCAACAGAAGAGACTTTCTAGTGCCTGGTCCAGGAAGGGGAAAGGTGGGAGTGTCGGGCAGGCACCTTCTAGTGACTGGGAACTGATAGGCCACAGGCTGCTAGGAGTTAGGTCAGAAGCTGCAGACCTCTAAGGCTGTTCCCTGAACAAGGCGGTTTCCACTGTGCAGGTGGAGGTCCCTGAGGCCCAGGTCCCCTCTCTGGCCAGGTCAGCCCGAATCCTGGCAGTTTGCTGCAACAAGTCAGCAAGGCCAAGGAGGCCAAGAGAAGCATCAGCTGGGGTCCTCTGGGTTACAGATTAGACTTCATTGGGCAGAAGAACCTGACCAGGGACAAGTCCCATTCTTCTGGGCTCCCCCTTGGCCAACAGCACTGCCAGCTGTGAGGTGGCCTTAGGCTCCTCACAGAGAGATCCCACCCTCTCCCCTGAGGCCCCTGCCTCGCCCCCTGCCCACACAGAGCTTCCCCTGCAGTCTGGTGGGTAGGGGTGTGTGTGAAGGGAAGGAGTAAAGCAGGAGCCCCATGTGAACTCAGGGTAGGGCTGGGGTGGGGGCGGCTCTCTCTGTAGTGAGATACTAAGCCCACAGAGTACAGTGGCTTTTAAATAACGTGGCTGGGGCTCTGACACAGAGGGAAGTGACACACAGCAATCACTGCACACTACTGTCTGGGGCGCTGCTGACGGCCAAGGGGCAAGGACAGTCTCTGATAAACACCTACTCACTCCAAAGGGCTGAGACGCAGGAGGGAAGGCCTGGGAGAGAGAGCTCTATCTCAACTTCCTCTCCCCACCTCACTAGTCCCCTCCTTTCTGTCTGGGCAGTCCCCCAGGCTGACACCTCTGTCTGGAAGAAGCTATTTCCCCTTTCACATCATATAGCTGTCCAAACTGGCGCCATCACTTATAGCCACCATGGAAGCCCAGGGATGGGGAGGCGGAGTTCCCTTTTTTTGCCCGAACACTTTGTGCCAGATGGACCTGGCCTGGCCTCCCCTGTGTCAGGATATGGGGTAGGAGGTGGGAGAGGAATTACTTCGCAATTTCCTTCAAAGAGCACGGCACCTGATCTCCTCAGGTCGAAGGTCCCTGAGGCAGGCAGATCATTTCCACTTCTCAAGAGAGGGCATCCAGCGATTTCCAGGGGCTTTGGCTGCAGACTGTAAGTGTGCCCTCCCTTGAGGCACTCCAGATAAGGAGGGAGCTGCAGTCCAAGGGTCCTTTGCCTAAGCTCACCACATCCAGTCCTGGGCCAGGGCCGGACAGCACCCAGGAAGGCATCCCCTGCCATTCAGACAGAGGACCCAGCTACTGGCTGCTCTTGGAGAAACAACGCTAAAAGAGTCAAGAAAGACCCAGGATTCACAAGCAGGGCCTCAGAAGTCACCACCACTGAAGCTTAGCTGGAAGAAGCTGTCTGGCCAGCTCCATGACTCATGCCAACTCCTGATTACCTCTGCAGGCAACGTCCATCTGAATGTTCATGTGTAAATACATACAGCCACTCACTCAAAAACAAATAAGCAAGTTTCTGTACATCTAAATGACCAGGATCAATTTAGGACTGGATTTGCCACAACTCCCACCTCCAAACCAGGAGCCAGAAAATGCTTCCTTACTGTCAAGGGTCGGGGTACAGCAGGGGTGAGTGATATCAGCTACCCAGATCTCTTCAGGGACAACTCCTTCTCCCCTACAAAGGCCAAGGGTTACCCTTGCTCCAGGAACCCCTAAAGTTCTGAGTTCTTTTCAGAGACCTCCCTGGTGGAGTTCATTTCAGTCCAGCACACTAGGAGGCTTGGGGGAGGTGGGACAGCCTACAGCTGAATGTGTATGCAAGAGGCAGGACAGCACAGAGGCTGACAGCTGGCTCCGGAACCTGACCATTACTATCTAAATCCCAGCACTGCTGTTTACCGTCTGGCATCGACTCTGTGCCTCAGACACCTCACTTATCAGATGAGCACCATGACAGAACCAACCTCACGGTGTAAATGAGACACTCATGTCGAGGCCTTAGAACAGGGTGAGGCACAAAGCATAGTTCAGCTCCTGCTCACATGTGCTAAAGTTACTGGTCAGCATGTGCGGACCCCGAAGTCCAAATTTGTATTTTGCAAGAGCTCTGTGGTCAGAGCCACGGTCAGAAGACCTTTAGCAGCTGGGTCTGGAATGAGTGACCACTGAGCTTTTAGGTGGTGACAGATTGGAACATCGAGGTGAGATTCTTCTGAAGGAGCATAAACCGTCCCTAGATCTGGGATCCTTTCAGACACTCTGCCCCTTAACATACTGGTACCATCCTTCTAAAGGATGTTTCCCCAAAGCACCTGTGAGGTGGCTGCACCCTCAGGCCTTGTTCCATTTGCCAGGTACAAATTTCATGCTCACCTGTTTCACATGCTTTTACTTCACCAATTCCTCCCAACATCCTTGGGAATGGGTATCGTTATTATCCTCGTTTTACAGCTGAGGAAACCAAGGCACACGGAGGCTGCATACCTTCCTCACATAAGCCATTGTGGGAGAACCAGAATTTGAATGTGGTGGATCTGACTGCAGAGTTCTCTTTTAATCACACTACCTTGCACGGATCCCAGACTCAGCCACCAGGAGGGACCAAACAGGTGACATAAGTGAGGAAGGCAGGCTGGGACTGAGTGGTGGAGCCTGGGTGAGGAGGAACCACTACTCAGCTCCAGCTGCCTCTGCCATGTGGGATCACATGTTCTCTGTTCCCAGATCTTCTCGTTTTCTGAAAAGATGCCCAAAATCTTTATCTTTATGTGATCCCAATTAAAAATTTTAAATCTCCCAATTAAAAATTTTGGCTCAAGGGGTCTTCTAAAACATTGTGCTTTCTCAACAAAACATCCTTGGGCCCACCATGCTGTGACCTCTGCAAAAAATGACTGCGTCACTTGGGGAGGGGCCAGCCCAGTGGTTGGTTTGCTCTGCTGCTGGTTCCCTGGGATCCAACCACTGATGCCTCCCAGACTGTAGGGCTGCTGTCTACTCTGGGCCAAGGTCAAGGAGGAACCCCACACAGACTTGGTGGATTTTCTATCTGCAACACTTTTATTGTGGTTTGAGGAGGGAAAGTTTCGAATTTTCTCAATCCTCCCACAAAATTCCTTCCATACTATCATACTCTAGTCAGTCATGACACACCTATACCCCCACAGACAATGGCTCTGTCTTACATCAGCATCTTTCCTATAAATTTAGGTTGAGGATGACAGACCAGTCACAAATGAGCATATTTATTTCTTTTTCAGTCTCTAGGAGTGGTGACAGTCCAGCAGGGAACCATTCACACTCTTCCATAGCCTGACTCAGACATAAACAAGATGGCTGGAGAGACATCCACTAAACACCAACTTGCTCATGTGGTAGGAGAAGTGTGGGGCTCTGGCCTCAATGGCACAAATGCTCTGAGTGAAATCTAGCCTCCCTTCCTGATGAAGACGTGAAAAAGGTAATGAACATCCAATAACCACTGTAAGTTTGATGCTTTAGTTTGTCAAATGTTTTAACACATATCTTCTCATCTTAATCTTCACTACAATCAACCCCATATGACAGGTGAGAAAACTTTGGCTAAAACAGGTTGAAGGGGCCTGCTCAAGCTCATGCAGGTAGGCAGGCAGTCTAGACCAATGGCTGTATCCTTTGACTCAATATTTTCTCTTCCAGGAATTTATCAAGGAAATAACCAGAGATAGATCCCCAAATTCACATTTTAGAGTGTTTACCAGAGTGTTTGTTTTAAGAGTAAATTATTGGAAAGTGTCCAACCACAGTGGATTAGCTAAATAAATTATTCGACGTTAGTACAAAGGGCAGCTGTGTAGCCCTTCAAAATCAATCCATGTTTTATTTCCTTTAGAAATATTGGGCAGTTGCTCAACCTTCAACCTCCGAATTCCCTTTCCCCAGAAGACAATTTCCGATGGCTCTATCAATAACTTGGTAAAAACAAAACAGGCCACTCGTCTCTTTCTAAACCACATTAACTGCCACTCTTCCTGGCCCCGTTCCTTCTCACCTGAGTAGTTAGGACTAAGCACTGGGCTCTGACTTCTGTCCAAAGAGCTTTACTTTGGGGATTTCAGGCCTCTGCATTTGGTTAATTTAACCATAAATGTTAGAGAATTTAACCATAAATATTAAAGAAAAAAAATCAGGTGTGTATTTTCACATAGCACTGTACAGCACAGAAAGTCTCAAGCACTCTTTCATTGAGCAAACACATATAAGTGCCTGTTTTGTACTGGGCACACAGGAGGGCTTGGAAAGACAAAGATGAATGAGACATTGCCTCAGCCTTCACGGGTGATATAACCGAAGGTGGCCGACACGGAGGAGTTTCAGTTGTGCACAGATAATTTATTTAACTTTGCCCCTCTCCACAGGCCCTTTCTAACTGCCCTGATTTAGTGTCCAGCAGAGCATGGACCTGGAACCCAAACACTGGGGACTGTGTCCCAGCTCTGCCATTTACAGGCAGTGGAACCCTGAGTTCCAACTTGAGTTTGCATCTTGCCCATCTGGAAAATGGGGCCATAAACTGCGCTTACTTCGTGAGGCTATCAGAGAATTCAGTGAGATAACATATGACAATATTTTCTCAACATATGAAGCCCTGATTTTCCCTAGTCATTCATTATCTCTCTGCCCACAGTTCTCCACCTTAGCAAATAGGATGTCAAGCCACATTAGTGTACTCGTTAATCTGCTGCCCTGCCCACAAAACATGAGCATTTTAAAAAAGATGGAGGAGGGCCTCCTGGAAACAGGGCACGTGGACCTCAAAGAACAACTTCGATGGCAGCTGAGAGAAAGCTCTTCTGGACAGGTACGATTCGTCTATATTTTTAAAATCTTACCATACCAGTGGTCCCTTACCCCACCAAGGGAAGTGTGGCTTTGCTCTCCCAGCCCAAAGTCATGAAAACTCTAAGATTCCCTCCCCCTCTCCTCCCACCGCCCCCGCCCCCAAACAACACAGAAACCCTTACCTTGGGCAGATCCGTCACCCCACGGATCCTCTGGGCCACCTTCTCTCCATCTGGGTGGATCTTGGCCACATGTTTCCACATTCTTTCCCAGGTGGCCTCGTCCACAGGCAGCCCACCCCGGTTGACAAAGAAGGGGACGCCTCCATCTCGTAGGTCCTCTTCTCCTTCCTCTTCTGGCTCATCATCTCTCTGGGCTGAGGCTCCTTCGCTGGTCTCCAAACGTCTGACCCCAGAAGGGACGGCAGCGACGACAGTGGTGGCAGCACAGCTGCTGCCACCCCCGACCACCTTCTTCCCTGGCATCCCCAAATCCTTGATGGGGGTTGAAGAATGTATCAGGAAGCAGGAAAAAAATAGATGGTTCACAGGAGGCCTCCCACACACCAGCTGTAGTTATAACACATGGCTAAACAGTGTGCAAGGCGCCTTTAAGAAACTAGGGCGTGGCTCCGGTACAATAAAATACTACTCAAAGAAAAAAAATCAGTGCCTCAATATGAGTAGGGGGTGGGTGAAGGGGGTTGCTTGTCCCAGGTCAGCCTTAGAGGCCTCGTTCTGTTTGGAAAGCGGCATAAAGAGAACACACCCCAACTTGGCAGCCTTCAGCAATCACCCGCATTTGACAGCGAGAACAATGACAGGCAGCAGTCTGGGCTTGCAGAGAGGAAAGTCGGAGGGAAACTGAGGCCAGACAGCTCAGACCTGTGGCCACACAGAGGGTCAAGGCACAGGTGCTGACGCCGACTGGGCTCCCCAGGTCCCAGTTTTGGATAGAACAACTTCCTTTACAAAATATCGCACGCTGACACCTGCGCGCGCTCGCGGGTGAGACCAAGGCTACTTCAGGCCGCATCAGCTCTGAGCTGGGATCCCCGGACTGGAAGGCGGCGAGGGGGCGCGATTTCTTCGCCGCGATGAGTTGGGGAGCCAAAACTCGCAGCTGGCTGGGCGCTGGGAGGGGACATGCGCCGACACGCACATTCCACGCCCGCGGCCAACTCCTCGCACAAAGTGGGCTTTGTCTCAGACCCCTGGTCCCTCGCTCCCGGGAAGCTGCGGCGGAGCCCCCAGAACAGGGAAGGGAGCAGCGTGGAGCCCCAAAGCTCAGCCGGTCCCCAGCCAGGCGCGTCTCAGCGGGCAGAAGTCGGGCACCCGGCGCAGCGCTGCGCCAGCCGGGCCATCGCGGGGCGCGGGTCCCGCACCGGGGCCCGGGGCTCAGCGGGGTTGCCTTGAGAGGCGCGCAGGGGCCAGGCTGTGGTCACTGAGCGACGGGCTCCCGCTGCAGGGCTGCTGTCCGGAACTGGCCGTAGCATGGGCGGTGGCGCGGCCAGGGCGGGCGAAGGATGCTCCGCAGCTGTTCGCTTGGGCTCCTGGGGCCCAGGCTAAGGGGGTGGAGGAAGGATCAGCGGGGCGGGGAAAGCAAGTCCGGAGGCTCGCGCAGCCCCAGCTCGCGGATGGAATGGATGAGAGTGATAAAGGCTCGGCGCGCGTAAGCTGCGCTAGTCCGCGGAGAGCAGCCCGCAGAGCGCGGGGTGCACGCGCAGGTCGCGAATCCGCGACTAGGTAAAGCTCGGGCCGCTGCTGTTCCGGTCGCCCCAGGCCACAGCTGCCTCCAGCCGTGGCCCCTGCCTGCCCACCGCCCACCCGGCTCGGCTCCGGCCCGCGACGCGCATGCGCTCCGTCCCCCCCTTAAAGGGCCAGTGCACTCCCGCCGGGTCCTCCCGCGGCCATCCCTCGGCTCCAGGTTACCTCTAGGATGGGGTTGGGCGTTCGCTTTGCTCTCACCCTTCTCTCCCAGTGGCGCGTAGCGGCTGCAGAGCTGCGGAGAAAGTTTACTACGTGCCAACGGTGCGCAAACTCTAGGGAGATTCCGGGCTCGGAAGGCCCGCGGTCGGGAATTTCTTGAGGGGAGTACCTCTCAGGGCCCTCAGGGTGTAGTCACGAGAGTATGGCCTGGAAGACCGGGGTTCTAGACCGGGTTCAGCTTCTGTTTTACTGTGGGACATCCAACAGATCACTTCCCTCTGCGAACCTCAGTTTCCCCACCTGTCGGCCAATGTCCTCACACTGGGTGCGCGTAGAGCCTTCTCGGCGCGCGCGTTCCTTAAAGGTAGATATCTAGGGGTCAGGGTCACTACTTCTGGAAGTGAAAGGGTTAAAAGTCACTCGGTTCCTCCTTATGACCTGCATCAGTGACAGCGGGTTCGCACCTAGTCCGCCTCTCTGGAAACGGCTCTGGGCGCCCCTAGTCAGCCCCTGGCAATGGGGATGCTGCACTCTAGGGTCTTCGGACCGCAGCCCATGGGAGTAGAAGGCGATGGTTGGAGACGGTCAGCCGGCCCAGAAAGTGAAAGTACCGCCCATTGTGTGCGGGCCCAAGACAGCGGAGACCCCAACACCCCCTCCCTCGCGCCCCTCCTCAGAGCTGTAACGCAGAAAAGGCGCGAACACGGAGCTAAAAGAAAGAACTTCACTAAACTGGGGTAGCCCTCTGTGAGTTATGGCTCCTCCCCACTCTTCCCCCAAGAGTTGGTGTCCCTCCAGGGGTAGATGTAGATTCCTGGACCCCGGGGCGGGGCAGAGTTTCCTCACCATCCCCTTCTCTGACAAGTTGAGGTTTCCGCGCTCGGGCTGGGACAGGGAAGGCCTTCGAGAATCTGAGGTCCTCAGTGTCTGAACTTTATAGGTCTCTTGAGCTCCAATAGCAACTTCTTGCTGCTTTCAGGGTCAGAAGCCAAGGGTGATCTGTGATAGGGTCACAGGACTTCAAGAAAGCTAGTTAAGAGGGGATCCTCTCCAGCTCACTGAGGCAAAAAGACTCCAAGCATGTCAAAACTCCCAGGGATCAACAGCTGCAACCTGCTCGTTGTACAGATGGAGAAACTGAGTCTCAGAGAGGGATTTCCGCTAGAAAATTTGAACGGAAATCTTACTTCTTCACTTAGCTTTCACCCTGCCCGTTGCCACTTGTGCTAGCGAAGTGTTGGCAAGTTCCTTACCACTTCTTTTTTTAAAAGATGGAGTCTAATTCCCCTCCCCTTGAATGTGGGCTGGACTTAGTGACTGGCTTCTAATAGAATGTGGTAGAAGTGGTGCAAATATACCCCCTAAGCCCAGGTCATAAAATGGAGACATTCTTCTGTCACTTACTTAATTCCTCAGAACGCGACCCTGGGAACCCAGCCACCATGTTATGAGGAAGCCCAAGCCACATGGAGAGGAGACATGGGGTGTTCTGGCTGACATCTCCAGCTAGGCTTTCAGCGCACAGCTAGCATCACTCACCAGATAGGTGGGGAACTGGGATGATTCCAGCCTCCAGTCTTTGAGTCTTCCAGCTGAGATCCTGGCCATGGAGCAGAGACAAGTCAACCTCACTGTGTCCTGTCTGAATTTCTCTCCCATGGAAATTGAGAGATAAGAAGTGATCATTGTTGTTTCAAGCCAGTAAGTTTTGGGGTACTTTTTAAATAGTATTAGATAACTAATACTGTGCGTTTCCAAAAATGACAAATAACAAAATAGATTTGGAGTATTCATTCAAATAGTGAGTACTTATCCAGTGCCTGGCTCTGTACTAGGAACTGGGGATACTGTGGTGAATAAGAGGGTCTTTGCCCTCCTAGAGCTTATGGTCGGATAGTGGAAGAAATGTTTAAACATGATTCCAGTTTAGTGCTTTGCCAGAGGCTTAGTACATGAAGCTACAGGAAGCAACTCCCTGGTGAGTGGGTTGCTGGGGGAAGAAGAAATGAGCTGAGTTCGAGGCCAGCATGGTCTAGTCTAGAGAATTTTCTTGGATGTGTTTATAGAACTAGGAGTGGATAAGTGTCAGGCAAGGGCATGCAAATAGATTAGAAAATGGACTGGAAAGGGATGTGTGTAACCTACTCTCATTTAAGCCAAAACCCAGAGAGGGAAAGTGTCTTGCCTGTTGTCCCATAGTTTGTGAACTGGGCCCAGATACTGGGGTCTGTATCAAACCTTCTCGTGATTCCTCTACCCCTCTACCCAGAGAACGACACCTCTAACAGGCACTTGGGTAACTCCTTATTTAGGCTTAAAGCTCTTGTGACCATTATCTGTCTTCACAAAGACTCTGGAAAAAGTTAGGATGAGTCAGTTTCCTTTTCACAGATGAAGACGTGATGCACAGGGAAGCTAGTGCAACTTAAGCACCTAGTTCAGGATCTGGCACATCAGAGCTGTTTACAGGTGGCTTTGATGATGACGGGGATGATAATGATAATGAAACCTATCACTGTTATCATCACACTCTGGACTAACGTTTAGTGTCTGAGGGAATCAACATTGATACGAATCTCTAATTTTCTATTCTTGTGACACTGAAGCTAGAGTCAAGTTCCCTGAGAGGAGAGTCCGGTTGACTTATTTTGGGTCCTGGGTCCACTCCTTGGCTGGTGAATGGCAAGGCAACTTCATTGGCTGCCCCCCAAAGATTATAGGCAGTAGGAGCAAGGTGCTGCCTTAAGTGACAATGGGGCACTGTTAGTAAGAGAGGAACATGGGGGTGCACAGTTATAGATATGTTTATAAAAGGTAAACACTCTATATAAGACTGCATTGTCCAATATGGCAGCCAGAAGTCATACGTGGCTATTGAACTTGAATTAACATTAAATGAAATTTAAAACTTAGTTCTTTAGTCAATAGTCACACATGGCTTATGGCTACTGTGTTGAACAGCATAGGTCATAGAACATTTCTATCATTGCAGAAATTTCTATTGGACAACACTACTCTGGGATTCTTGGAATTCGGCTCTTTCTTTTCTTCTTTTACCTCATACATTGTGATATGGAAATAGCAAAAGAGGTGAGTCAGAATCTTTATTCATTTATTCAACATACATATACTGTCTACTCTGAATCATATATTGTTGTAGGCACCAGGTTGCCTAGAAGGGATCTTGGAGAGTTTCCGTCCAATGCATCTCACGTTAGAATTATCCAGGGAGCTCTTGAAAGTACTGATACATAGGCTCCACCTAGCAGAGTTTCTGGTGAAATTGATTTGGGGTGGGGCTTGCACACCCATAGGTTGGAAAAGCTCCCAGGATATGCTAATGTGCAGACAGGCTTGAGAACCACTATGATCTAGTCTGAACAGTGAAGTGATTTGCTTCAGATAACCTGAAAACCTGAATCTGCATGGGTCTGACCTCAACTCTGGGGTTCTGAGGACAAAATCAGAGTTCTCCATGGATTCAGCACCTGTCTGAATTGAATGCAAAATTCTTAGAGGAGAACAAGTCTACTTTTCCTTAATCCAAAGGGAATTCAATCCACTAAGAACAAAGTGCCAAAAGAACATCTGGTTGTAAATTGCTTCTTTCTCAACCTTTGTGTATTTCATGCCTGGAACTGCATTGATCAGCCAAGTGGGTTAAATGCCTACAAATCTGCACCCTTTTCTGAGTACCTAGTGTAGGTCAGACACTTCACATAGTTTCATTTAACCCCCAGGACACTCTGACAAGGTGAGTTTTACTGACACGAGTTTACAGATGAACAAACTGATATGTAAAGAGATTAAGGATTATAACTTACCCACGTTGGCACATCTGGGATTCTGACTGCAGAGTTTGTGTTCTTTCCTCTTCGCCACCTTGTGCCTGCCTACCCCTTAGCCGAGAGTCCAAGAGAGCTGGCAGACAGCAGTGTTGTGCTCTAGATCACATAGGAAAGAAAGCTCTGAAGGTGAGATGCAGTCCTTTGAGTGTCAGGGGAAGCCTTGGAGCTGATGTGATCTGGACATTGCTCAGTGAGAGTGCGGGGGGTAGGGCTGGAGGGAAGGAGAATTCAGGTGAGGGAATCTGGAGTGTTTTCCTTTTAGTTAATGGTTGTGCCCGGATTCCTTTTATTCAGACATTCGGAGGAAGCAGCTGAGAGCAATGTTGTACCTGGAGCGGTTAGCTCTCAGATACCTAGCAATTATGGTGCACACTTGGTATAAGCATTATCTGGATTCCTGTGGGCTGGCAGAGTGTCTCTGTCACCTTGTATCTTTGCAATCTGAGTCCTTTCCTGATACTTCCTGGGCAGCCTGGCCTGGCCTCTGTGAGCTGAGAAGAGGCAGAACTCATTGTGTTCATTACAGAGAACTTTAACAGTCAGGGAGATATCTCTGCCCTGCCATCTTTTGGGGGCTACCTTGTACAGTAATAGGAGATCAGGGCCTTGGAGAACAGTAAGGGCTGGATTTGGAATAGATCAGAGCTTGTCTGTATGGTATTCAGAAGGTTTATATGAGAGTGAAGCCACAACTGGCCATAGAAAGAGCACAGAATATCTCAACCCACAGGGACCTTCTTGTCAAGGTTTCATTTCACAGATGGAAAACTAAGGCTCAGGGAGACGATGAGACTTGCTTAAAATTGCACGGCCAATTAGAGGGAGAGATCCCATTTCCATTCAGGGTCCCTCCTAGCCCAATGTGTCTTCCCTGATGTCTTCTCCAGCATGGGAGGAGCTGGTAGTCGATGAACCCCTGAACGCTTTGCAGTGGCAAGGAGCAGAGATAGTCTCCCCATAGTTTCAGGGTGTGGCTGAGCTGTGCGCGTCAGTGGGTGGGTGTGGACAGGGTATTTATTTAGGAAGGCTCTGTTCAATCTGGATGACTAGGTGATGTCCTCTCTCATTTT